TTTATTATTTTTTTATTTTTTATTATTATTTTTATTTTTAAATAATGAAATTATTTAAACTTTAATAAATATTTAAGATTTCTATCATTTCAATTTTATTTAATCCTTCTATCTATGATTTACTAAACCTGCAACAATATAAGACTATCATATATACATTAAATCATTTTTAGAACAAAATAAAATTATCAATTCTATCGAATTGCTTAAGTGGCATGGTCTTAGACATTATGAAAATATCCAAAAGCCATAATGTTTTCCTCTTTCCCTTTTTATTTTCATCATAATATTCAGAGATATTTATTAAAATAAATTCTTACCAAAGTAACTTATAAATTCATTTTCAAATTTTCTGATTTCCTTATATTTGATTGATTTTAAAGCATTCTGTAATTCTTTAATTTTTTCTCTAGTGATTTCTCTCAACCAAAAACAAAAAAACTCTTCTCCAGCAACATTTCTCCATTCAGGATTAGTTGGTACATCTTTTATATTTAATACTGTTTTTAAAACTTCTATGTCTGAATTTCTGAGATCTTCACAAAGATTGTATAATATTAATCTAAAAAAATTAGTAGTAATGACATGATTAATTATTGAGGAAAGATTAAGAATATGATATATCTTTAAAATGTATAGAGTAAAAAAACCAAGCAACCAAATTTGCCAAAAAGTGAATAATAGAAAAGCTTGAAAAATTTTTCTAGAAAAAGCTAAACTTTGTTTGTACATTTTTCAAGGAAATTTTAAAAAAATCATAAACCACATAAATGAGAAAAATGTACAAATGAAAGTACTTTTGAATTGCTTTTAGAATAAATTTAGTAGTCATACGTATAGTATGGCATAAATCAACACTATATAACTGAATTTTTACATATAATTCTTAACAAAGAACTTTCAATTTTATTATACAGTAATACCTCGACTTACGCTACCCCGACTTATGCGAACTCGGAGTTACGCGATTTTCAAATCTCGTCGATTCGTCTTTTGTTTGAGCGCCACACAACTCTTGATTACTCACTGCCCCCACACTATTATTCGGCTTACATGTTCGGACGTGTCACGCAGAATCGACGCATAGCTACAATTTATTTTGTGTTAATTATTTCTGTATTTGTTATATCTACAGAGACTCGAGAGACTTTATGTGGTGATTTCTTGTAACCGTGAACGAATCAAAAGACGAAATAAGATTAATGAGAACATTTATTCGTTTACATACGTCCGACTTGGATTTTACACAAATTGCAAAATTATACCCTGACTTACGTGAATTCGACTTACGCAGTTATCGCTCGGTCCCACCTATCGCGTAAGTTCGGAGTATTACTGTATGTACAAGGTGAGATCCAAAAGTTTTTAGACAATTGTTACAAAACACAGATAACTTATATGGACATAATTTATTTTTATTCTTCAAAATGTGTTCCTCCTTGATCATGCCCCAGGAAAGTAGTTTTTGAAATTTTGTTAAGATCCCTTGTCTCTGTACACTGAATTTCTTCACTATTTGAAAATGCTGTCCTACTAAAGGAAATTTGAACTTGGGGAAGAGAATGTACTGGGAAAAACTATCTGTTGCCTTGATGTAACAACTAATTTTTCTTCTGCTTTTAGAATTATTGCAGAGATATTTGCATATATTGCAAAGGAGACCGGTCTTTAGATGCATATCATGTGTTAGGAAAGTGCGTTAATTGTTCAAAATTATGCAAAAATATTTTTGGGGTTTATACTATTTCTATTGAAAGATTTTTGGACCTCATTGGTAATTCACATAGTTTTGATTTATTTTTCTTTATCCAGAAAGTTAAATTATTTAAGTAATTTTATGATGATTATTTTGTTTCAGTTGGCCATTCGGATAGAGTGGCACTTAATTTTGTTTCCCTTTGCATTTGATTACCTGGTTCTCTGCATAGGTGTATTTTATAGTTCAAAATAATTATTCTGAGTTCAGAAATATAAACTTGTCTCCCTAGCATTCAAGACAAATACATCATTTTAACATTTCTTTTACACTCATTTTAACTATTCATTTTTGTATTTATTATTATTATTATTACTATTTAAACATTTCCTGGGAGCTATGGTCAACTGACAATTAAAGACAGCATCTCCCCCTAATAGTCTGTTGAATTGTAAAATTCCTGTCTTGTTATTTTATAAAAATCTATAATTCAAATACAAATCCATATTTTCTAAACATGATGGACACTGTTCAGTGTCTCTCACGTTCATAAAATATTTATTGTGTATGTATGTTGATAAAACAGTGTGTATATTTAGTGTTTGTTTTATTTCACAATGAAATAATGATTTAAGATATCATACTCTTGACACATCAAAATGAAATACATTAAGTGTTTGTGATTATTATTAGAATCTATACAAATAAATATACTTTACTTACATTTTTAACTGAAATGAACTTACCTTCCAGAATCAATAATAGCTGAACCTTTTTTCAGGTTAGTTTCCATCTGATGGCGACAAGTATTTAACATGATCAACAGCTTATATTTTTTAATATAAAATAAAAGTTCTTTTAATAAATTATATTTATCATTTTCACTTATATTCCATAATAAAAAAAATTCTTCTGCAGTTTTTGGACAGTCTTTGGACATATGATCCAAGCACAAGAAATAAAATTTCTTAACATCATTAGGAACCAAACAGGACAAGGCAGTCATAAAATTTACATCTTTCTCTTGGTAAGATACAGCATCACAACAGATCTCCATTCTAGAAGAATAATATAAAAATTTGTATCAGTTTTCTGTAATATAAATTACTAGCAGGTAAGCCTGGCATTGCTTGGGAAAAAAATAACAGCAGCAAAAATTAAGATTATTAGATTATTTCATAGTTCCTAATCCTTCTATTATATTATATTATATTATATAACAAACTTTAAAATAAAAACCATATAATGAGTTTGCTTATTTCAGTCTACCATTGTCATGTTTATCATGATACTCAGATGGTAAAAATGGCACAAATTCAATTGGAAAGTTGACAGGAATTGAAAATATACCTTAAATTTTTCAGATACCATAATATTTTCTAATGTTAACTCTAAGAAACTGTACCATTCACAGCCAAATATCACCTTCAAACAATTCAAGAACCAATGTTAACTCTAAGAAACTGTACCATTCACAAGCAATCTCACCTTCAAACAATTCAAGAACCAAGGCAGGCAATCTAGTGTGAGTGGCTGCCTGTGGTTGACTGGTAAAGCAAGGGAAGTCTGGACTTGCCGTAGTCAGGTCAAATGTGGCGTTCCTGCAGTCGAGAACTCATTGGACTCTAATCACAGCGAGTGTGGTGGCTTCTTCCCTCTCTTCACAGGCAGAGGCATCGGTTTCATATTCCTCATCCTCAAGTTTATTGTGAATGGCCTCATCTAATATCTTTAATTTCTTAAGCCATTCGTTCAACATGTTGCGGGACAGTTCAATTTCATCGGATGGCGTCAAGTCAGAAATGGCGTAGACCTTGCTGATTGTCTTTGTCACGGACGTTCTTACAGTATTACAGTGGCATCAGAGCTTGCTTAATTCCTTGCTGAAATTTGAATTCATTCTGGTTGGAGATGCCTAAATCATCTTTCGGTCGATGATGACGATTGGGTAGCGAAATCAGTTCTGTGAACAACAGTGAGGCCTTGTATTCCATTAGTGTGAACTCTTCACACTGATGGAATATAAGGCTTCACTGAGCAGCATCTATAGGCAAATAGGAGCCGCTACGAAGAAAAGAATAATATACAAAAGGAATCCTACTATTTACCAATTGCTAAGGGCAGACAAAGATGCTGTGGACAAGAACTCTCTTCCAGGAGTCTACAGAATCCCAGTTACAGACATGTGGAGTCATAATATGATGTTCTACATCGGAGCTACCGGAAGATCCCTCAAAGAAAGGCTGTCAGAACACCAGAGAAACATAAGAAGCGAACAGCCGTGCACAGTGCTGGCAACTTACGTCTTAGCTGAATGGGACCGAGCTAGATTGATACAAATAGTTCGCAACAAAAAGCATCTCCAGTATGCTGAATCCTGGCATATCTGCAAAACCAGCCAAAAAGGATTAGCTATCAACTTCCGAGATGCAAGCAAAGTATCGGCAGCCTGGCGATCAAGCATATTATAAGCGTCAAGAACGATGGCAGAGCGGCAACTTACTTAAGGGCAGAACTCTTAAGTTAATGTATTTGCGCAGAACATTGTTTATGTTTGGTAGTCTATCTGTATTTTTTATTTTTATTTTTATTGTTATTTTATATCTTGAACATCATACTTTTTAACATTCTAATAGCTACTGTGGTTATATAATGACAGCCTTGATGTAGAGATGGAGTTCTTTATTCCCGTAGAATAGGGGTCCCCAAAGTGGTCGATAAGAGTTCTCCAGGGGTCAATTAATACACGAGGGTCGAAAGGGGGTTGATTAATACCAAAGAGGATCAATTAAATTGTCTAAGAAAAAAATAGAATATTCCAATAAAAATTTGAAATACAGATGTGATCAACATTACTGACTACCCTAGTTATAGCTTGAGTTTTGCCTTAGCCTACGCCACTTTAAGCATGTGTTACTCTGTTTTCACGCATCTGGCAACTGGACTAGAGTTGCAAAACATGTTATGAATGCTGGTAGTTCAGAAATACGTTGCACTGTTACACTCTAGTAAGATTGTCACTCTAAGTATTTTATATCTAAATGTAGATATTTTGTCCTTTACAGGGAAAATATCGTAATATATCGAAAATCATTAATATAGTACAGAAGCGTTTGCAAGGAAAAACGTTACAATTGTTTAAGCTCGAACAATCATAATGGCCTTTCAAGCATGGAAAATGGAGAAATTTAAATCTTCATTGGCATGATCCGATTTTAAACATTTTTCAAACTTGTGAGTACTAAAAAAAATCAAGGTGTTATGAATC